CTATTGACAAAAACCTTCTTGAAAAGCGAGTAGCACGTATAAGCCAAAGTGGAACTCTAAAATGTAGATGTGCAAATGTTAACACCAGAAGCACTTCATACCCAGTGAAGCCCAGCATTTTGCATTTATGTCAGTCTGCCAATGTCCAGCAAAGCACAGGCTCTCATTAAGCACACACAAAACACTTTAAGGAACTGAAACTCTAATCAGAATAGAGCAAAAAAATGTTGAAACAGTAACACGTGATTCAACTTGCCTCACACAAGGCATCCTGAAGTTCCAAAGTGTGTTATCTTTTTGCATCTTCAGAAGTTTACAAACAGCTGTGCAGAGCAATAGCAGGACAACATCTACCTTTAAGCAAAATGCTAGTAATTTGCTCATTGGTCCCTATCATGATCCCTATCATGATCTCTTCTGAATATTTACATGAACATAAAAATTGCAGACCTACTACCCTATTTTACAACGTTTTTCACTATCTGCTTGTTGGCTACACCAACCATTGCTAAACCACTCTCATAGTGTTACATCATCCATAGCTAAACAGATGAATTCCTCCTGATTAACAAAAGACCAATCAATAAATCCAGATTTAGCTTTTGTTAAATGTACTAGTATTTCCATACTCTCCCTTTAGTCTCTTTGCTTCTTCACCTTTAAGTTGTTTCTTCCTTTTCTCCGACTTTGCAGCTTGCTCTTTTCTTTCTTGATTTTCCTGCATTCAGACAGAATGACAGATAGAAAGTTAAATAAGAAAACTTACTGGAGTAAAAACTGGTTATGATTTGCAATGAGTAACTACTCTAAATGAGTCTTATACACCCTTTCAATGACATTTTTCAGCTGCAGGGTTTTGAGGACAAAAGCCAGAACAAAGCCAATGTCTTACACAATGTCTCTGTGTAGCGATGTTACTAGCAAACTAGTTCATTAATTTCACCTGTAGAGATTCATCTATGACATGAAATGCATTCGTAATTAATTCTGGGGATCACAAAGCACAACATTAGTTCGACTTAATTAGCATTTATTTATTTATTTATTTATTTATTATATTTATTCCAAAGCATCTTTGATTTTATATGAGCTGCATTCAGAGTTTTCTACCAGAAGCTTCAGGAACTTGTCACTCTGTTGAACAACAATCTACAGTTCCTCTTTAGACACCCATTATATTTGCCAGCTGCATCGCTGCCCTGGTGCTCAGCAGCAGGATCCTGGCTGCAAGTCTGTTGGTGCCAACCATGCAGCTATCAGGGTGACTTGTCCTGTTGGGACTCACGCAGTCAGATAGGACTCCTGTTTCCTTAGACCTGCTGACACTGGGATGCTGTGAGTAATGGAGGAAGAGAAAGAAATCAAATGATTACTCTCAGTAAAGGAAGACCTACAGTCAATGGAGGAGTATTTCTGGATTTAGACAAGTAGCACAGTTGTATGAGGGGGTAATTCTGAACGATCAGGTTAACAGTAGAAGAAAATCAAGTTGATTTTCTTAACAGCTTATGCAATCCCTGTTCCAAGCTGCAGTCATCAACAGAGCATTGTAATCACCACCTGGAATTCCACATGCTTTCAACTGCAACCAGTCAGCCAATAAAGTTCAGTTTTTGGGCCACTTGCCATGGTTTTGTGACATAGTGAGGAAGGTGCTGCTGTGTTAATAATTTCCATGAGGATTTTCATTTGTTAGAGAGAAGTTTCTTCATGAGACATGCCTGCTCTTCTTTGCAGATTTTAGTACCAGCAAAGTATTAATAGATTCGTTGATTGCTGTGGATGAAGTCCCAGGAAACATGCATGAATTTCTTAGAGCTTTTACAGAATGTAAAAGACTAGGATCTTTTGGTCCTCAGAAACACTTCCCGACAAATAAAGTAAACTTGTGAACATAAATAGAATTACTTTCTCAGAATTGTAGAATTGTTACAGGCACTTTCACTGGATGCTTGGAGAAGGAGAGGAAACTGGTGCATTATCCCTGGCAAAAAAAGAATTCACCTGCCATGAAGAAAGGAATCTGCTAAAAGAATGAAGGTGGCGAAGTCTTAAAAACAAGCTAGAAGCCTTTCATCATTGTGTTCCTCTTATGTGCTCACCTGATAAATTCCTACTGTGTTTTAGAATATTTCCTTTGAGATACTGTTGATATTGAGAGACTTTCAAAACTGCAAGTCCTTGGAGAATGCCTCTACGCTACATTGCACAAGAAGTAAAGGAGGTGAATTCAGGGCTACCTTGTTCTGCTATTTGAGCAGAACACTCAGTAACGAAAAAAAAAAACAAAACCCATTAGCAGTAAATCTATGGACTGATCAAACTTAAATTGAATTGTTCAGAGAGAGTGAGGGGAAAAAAAAAAGTCTTTAGTGACTCGACACAAGCACACTGCTAACAGCTTCTTCAACATGAGAAAGGCCACTAAGACAGAGGAGGAGCAGGGAAAGGGAACGAATGCCCACAATCCCTTCTCCAGCTCTGGGTTCACTAAAGGTTGCTGTAAGAATTAGACTGGATAAAGTAGAGCTGGGGACATTAGATTCTTGTTGGATCTTTGCATTAAAAGATGCTCTGTGATAACTATTTATCTCCACACTATCTGCTGAGGAGCCCGCTCCAGCTCCTTTGTCCAAGAGAACACAACAGGCAACAGAACTGTCCTTTTGACCCTTGCAAAGAGCCAAGCACTTCCTAGAGCAGATTTTGTTTATCGTTTTTCTCCTTTTTCTGAGATTAGACTGCATCTTTAGAGGGAGCTCCCCTCTTTGAATAGATGTAACTGCTAAGGGAAAATCAAATGTTTCCCACATGCTCTATAATTACCCAGTTTTTCTTTTCCACATAGTTTTAGAACTTAGTGCGTCTCCAATATTGCACTCTAACTTAGAGCTAGGAAGCTATTTTCTCCCCACCTTCTTCTTCCTGCCATCTGCTCTTTTAGTTCTTCTGATAAGCAGAAAAACATACAGCCTAGGTTAAAGACCAGCTATTTTTCACTGTGCCAGTTGTAGGGGTCACTTGGGTTTTTGAAAGACATTTTTTTCCTCATCAAATAGATGGAGAAGAATGCGAGGTGCACATTAGATGTTTCATTTGTGTAGCTCAGTCTTCATTCCTGAAGGATAAGAAACCAGAAAGAATACTCAAGAAACAGAGGGAGAAAAAAAAATCAAAGTATGTTTGGATAAACCTGGAAACAGAAAGTACCACAATTTATCAAAATAATTCTTTGATTACTTGGTGCAAGAGTGGAAAGACAGCCTTAACTATTTTGGTAGTGCCAACAGACCTGCTTTACACAGAGCACTTATCTTAAAATAAAAGCCACATTTTAGCCAAATGACAAACACCTTGAAAGAGATGATGGAGGTTGTCTGATTCTAGTGTAAAATCTAAAAAATAGAGTAATAAAAATGTTTTAAAAATTGAAAGCTTGAACTTTTCAGCAGGTTGCTGTTTTGAGCACATACAGTATTTTTACTATAGTGACAGAGAGAAATGATTAACAGCTGTGGTATTTTTGAGGTGAGGTACTGATGAGAAACTGAACCAAGAAAAGATGAAAGGGAGGTTACATGTTGGGTAGAGGAAAAGCAGGTCCTTTTCATTTGCTCTAACTTGGCTGTGAACAACGAGAGAAAAAAAAAAAAAAAAGTTGTTCATACCTCCATGTGCAACTCCACCATGACATCCTACATAACCTTTATTGGGACTTCTTCTTTCAAAGAACTTTGGAAGCAAGAATTACCCTTCACATTAATTTTCCAGTGTGGCTGTACACAGATGTTGAGCCAAGGTGTTCCGAACTCTCTCAGTACTTCACCTCATAGCTGAATTTTGAGGGTCAAGTTTATAGCCAAATATTTTCTGTGGTTGACATTTTTTTTCCCCCTCTTGACTGTGACACTGTCACCTCATTCCTGTACTAAGGTATCTGTATTGCTTGCAAAATTGTACGTATCTCATACCTCCAGGTAGGGGGAATATTAAAGGATATCTTTTTCATCTTTTGTCTGAGAAGCTGTCACAGAAGCTTCTTTGTTTTGATCTAAAACTATGATTTACCCTAAAACACACATCAGCCACCATTGCCATGACTTTGCCCAGCATAAATATCTGCATTACAGCAATACTTTGCATAATGTGCCTGAAAATGCCTTCCTTCTGTAGGAGGCAAATCCAGTCTTGTGCTCTGCAGGACTCAGCTCAGGAACAGGTTGTTGTTGCTTTAAAAAATTATGTGAAGCCACTAATACCTGGCATTAAGAAAACACTAGAGAAAGAACATTACTGTGGGCATGAAGTATGCAGTAGGAAATATTACCTAGAGGATTACTGGAGGTTTAGTAATTAAGAGGGGCTAGTCTACACAATCTGTATGGGAAAGTTGCTCTTCCTTAATCCTTATTGCAAGGAGTGTTACTTTGTGAGATCTTAAAGGTATAAATATCATCTCTTGGGAAGTGGTTTTGTAGAGGATGTAAAACATGCTGATTTGAACTAACTAGTGCCATGAAGTATCTGCATGTAAACATATCTCTTACAGGCTTTGCCTCTGCAAGACCTTCACTCCTTCGGTAAAACCTGTTAGGTTGCTTATTCTTTCACACATCATTAGCTTCTATTCTATTGAGGCTTGATTAGTAATTTTAGGCTGGAACCAATCTTAAAGGTCTTAATTCTCTGCACCAATTAAAAGAGTACATTTTGAATTTGCCCCCATGCTCATTTCTTGATGTTGACTGCAAGCAAAGAAGCAACTACTTCCATTTACCCCTGAAACCAGGGTTTAGGCAGCCCAATTTGAAAATAAATAAATAAATATGCAAATATTCTAAGACATCCTTGTTTGTTAAAAAAAGGCAATCTCTTTGTATTTGTAAAAATTCACAAATGCAAACCACCTGTAAGGCCTTGAGGAAGAGCTCTCTGAAGGTTTTCATTGTGACAAATACTTCTTCCAAGGATATTCTCTTTTGGTCTTCACACAGATAATCAGCAAGTTCTTCCTTCTTCTTTTCAGTAATGGCAAATTCCTTCTGCAGGTCCTTTGAAGCGCTAATACTGCCCTGAGACACAGTTTACAACACAATTTATGCACATTAAGAAATAACATATTCTGAGCTACCCAGAAGACTCAAGTTAATGCAGAGCAATCCTTTTTTAAAGAACTGACAGCTAAGATTGTAAACCAATGTGCAATTCTTTCTTCTTAATTGAACTGTTTGCATTTCCCATCCTTTTTGTTAGGCCCCAAAGCAACTCACTTCATGTTGCCACTTTCATCATATTCATCCACATGGAAATTTCACTCAACCTGGGATGACTAATCAAGAGATCATCTTTAGTTATATGACCCCATTTTGAGAACAGGAAAAGCTAGAATCTAAAGGATATTTGGGAATATATATGCTCAGGGAAATGCTCAGGGAATATGCTCAAGGAAAAAAAAAAAGACTGTAAATCTGTTCACTTTCCTTTTCTCCCCTCAAAGAATAGCTAGTCAAAACATGTTACTGCACTGTACTATACCCATTTATAGTTGCATCCTACATTTCCTTTTTAAGACCTTCCTTTCTTTTGCCCACACAGATTGCTGACTGATTCTCATCTGTTTCCTTTTCATAATACCACATTACAGGCATGAAAATAAACTCATGACACTTCTTCCACAGAGACGCAGAAGGAGCGTGGTTATGCCCTGCTTCCTCCAGAACTGCTTCCATTTGCAACCTGCAATCTCAGTGCCTTTGCGAAGCAGAGTTTTAAAGCATTTGAGAAAAACAATGGAAATTGGGGTACATCCAGTTTACCTACTTGAACAGATTTTCCATGCTGTACTTTCAAATCCTCTGTTGACAGAAGTAAACGCTTCTCTATTTCCAACAATTTCTTCATATTGGCACCTGCTTCAGCCTGCATAACTTCAAAGTGGATTCTGAAAGGCCCGCAAAAGGGAAAGTAAATTAAAACAGCAAGTCTGTCCTTTTTTTTTTTTTTTCTTCTAAGTTAAATGACTATAGACAATATTATCTCTACAAATGAATATAGGGTGAGTTGTCTAATGCAGACCCTTCCTTTGCAAATAATTCTCCTCCGCAAGAGCTCCTTTTTAAGCTGCTAAAAATCCATCTGAGGAAGATACTTCCTTTGCGTCCCTACTTCACATTTTTTTTGAACACGAAGCCCCCACCACCTCCATGGGTACACTGTGGAAGAATCTTACTGTCCCAGTATTTATAAACCTTCTCCAAGACTTCCAGTGTATTTTTATTCATAGACAATTAACACTCATCTCTTTTGTGCCAATATTGTCTTCTCTCCCTGCTGTTTTTCTCCCTGATTTATTTGTAGTCAGAAATTGTATCTCTTTTTGGACTTCATTTATCTCACACGGAGGCCCAAACATGCATGTTGCATAACCAACACATTTTGCTGTTCTGACAATCCCTTTGCAGAGACACGAATCCAAACAAAAACTACTGGATCAGCACTACATGACTTGGTGTTTGATGGTGTATCCAGATGTGAGTGGCATTAAAAAGGTCCCTTGCAGGCTTTGCTTTGTAAACAGCTCTCCCAAGGCTGATTAGCAAAACAATTTTATAAGTTTGAAGGTTTGACTAAGCTAGAGGGCAATTACTTTATTAAAAAAAAAAAAAAAAAGAGGACATTTATATTAACAACTAGGAGGATTTAGATTCAGACAAGTCTTCCATTATTACACAAACCCAGAGAGAAATGCAGGCTTCAACATATCATCCAGTTTAAACTTCTCACAGAGAACTTGTAGTGCTTTCTGCTGCGTTACTGAATCAACATAATTTTTGAATTTAATTAATTTTAGCAGCTGCTTAAAAATATCAGTACATCTCCAGATTGCTGTTTACCCCAGCTTCTAGTTACAAGAAAAATTAAAACATTGTAAGGTTCCAAAGAATTCATATAAGATTTAAAAAATGCTAATCCTGAGCTGTAAGTCTGGGTTCCTACTCAGTGTAGTTTAGCATATCCTCATGTTGTTTTTCTGAGCTAACTAGGCTGAGTTGGTGTTAAATTCATGAGGCTTTCAGACACATGGAAGGAAGTCTGGAGGACCAGGCTTTTTCTTTCCACCCACATATACACTGATAGTGATATTTAACTCTGGGCCTCATGAGGTCCCTTGAGTGCTAGTATATTGTTCCTGATGTCCCCTCCTCACAACAGCTCTGTGAGGAGAAACTTAAGGCAAGATACTGTTCCTATTGCAACCTGTGGGAGAAGAATCTGGTGTTTGAAAATGAAGGCGTTAACTCCTTGTAAATCCCACTGAGCTACATTTGAGTGGCTTTAGCCAAAATGCTCTGTAAATCTCAGAACCATTCGGGCTTGGAAGGAAACCTCTCCCACACAGCAGAGAAATCTTGTGACCTTATTATGCCACCATAAAATGACTCAGCTCGTGCTTGGTTCTATGGAGATTGGCAATTGATACATGACAAAACAAAACAAAGAGTCCTACCCTACTGCCTTGGAAACAAAGTCAAGATCATTGGGAAGCTGCAGCAAATCTCTGTGGTTTCTCTCAACCTCCTAAAATTCAAGTGGAAAAGCAGTTACTTTGTACAATCAATGAAAAAGTATGGAAGTTTCTCAGAACAGTATCAGGACAAAAATAATAATACTTAGATAAGCTTAGCCTTTACCAGGGAACAGGCATGTTAAGCAAATCTAGGAAAGGAAACCTAGTATTAACTATCTAAAGATTTTATTTCATAGGTGTTTGATCCTTTCCACCCAGGAAACAGTGGCAAAGTTCTCACTGCATTTGTAGGCATGGAGACTCTGTGTAAGCACCTTCATTTCAGGGTATGTTTGAGATCAAGGCACACAAGGCTGACTTGACCTCCACGTCCTACCTCCAATATATGGTGGAGTAGAGTAATGTGGCTTTGGTTTGCTTTTGTCTCTGTCAGCTTGAGCAAGGCACTAATTTTAAAGCCTCCAGCATCTCCACTGTGATGCCCCTGGAAGATGCAGGAAAAAAAAAAAATCTTTGCTTCAGTTTCCAAGTCTTGTATTTGAATTTTCTGCTATCTTCAGAAGTACAACAATTATAAAGAAATAACTTCACTTACGTAGTTCAGGAAGTTTCCAACTTTAAGAATCAACTGACAGAAAATTGGCAGTCGGTGACTTGTAAGAAGGGCTGAAGAATAGAAAGGGACATTTTCATAAATTAAATAAGGTGTTCTGAAAGAGGATGTTCCTTACGTCTGACAGCAGTGTTAAAACAACTCTCATCTAAGATTATGTAAAGTCAGTATTATTATGAATTTGGAAAAAAGAACAACATAAAAATGGTTTATAGAGAGCATGAACAGAAATAAGTCAGATGTATGAAAACACAATGAAGAAGTTTCTTTTTTTGGTATTTTCCCTAAACTACAGAGAAAACGAGATTTCCCATCAATTTTAGAGTATACATATACCATCACTGCAACCACTCATGAGGGACAACTACACGTGAGAAAGTATTTAAACATGAGAAGGTCAGTAGCTGTCATTCTCAGCACATTGTTACAGGTTTAAAAAAGTGAAGGTCCTTTTGCCTTGTAAACATCATTAATGAGAATAATGAGAGGCTGTGCATACTGACAGCAGAAACTGGAATACAAACAACATTTTTGGCAGAGCTAGAACAGAATTCTCACCCACATGCTGGCCCACACTGCTGGGGGCTGAATGAGACTGCAGAAAGTTGTTGATTAGGACACAGATCCAAGAGTAGCTATAGCACTGATATCGAATAACCTAGTTATAGCCAGATTTTATATACAAACACACAAAAGTGCAGCTGGGCAACAGGAAGTCATGGCTGCTTAAAATTATGTATCTGAAGCTATAATCCAAGCGCTAATTTAGGAAAGAATTGAGTTAAAACGAAAACTGTATCTGATATTGTGGAGGGAGTTTATGAAAATATTACAGATATTATTATGGAGGGAAACATTATTACGGAGGGAATTTATATAATTGAGGATACATGTTTTGTAAAACAAAATAGATTCTATTATGTCACTTTGACTAGGTCCATCACAGAGCTATAGCCTGGGCTACAACCAAAACGAACTTAGAGGAGGAACTGGAAGAGCTTCATTGTTATGAACAAAACTCTCTGCTGCGCACACAAGTTCGACTTTTATTTAAACAAAATCTGGGATTTGCATATAGAAAATTTCCTTCTTCTCTGTGAGGGATTGTTGGTAGGAATGAGCCAACATGCCTGCTTTATTTAGCTTGATGAAAGCTCTGCAGAATAGCACAAATTGCAGCTCTGCAGAATGAACTCCAGAAACAGAATCTGTAGCCAGGGTTTTGATGTTCCTTACATATTCAGCAATTAAAAGGTTAATTTTCATTAGATTATAGAATATGATATGATTGAGTCTATTTAGATAGAAGTTTTCTGTGCCTAAGCACTGGGCATAGACACATCACTGAGGCACTTACTTTCACAGGCTCTCCTGATTACTTGTGCTTTTGGCAACAGACAGTCCAGCAGAATTTTTGTTTCCTCACAAGCCAGCATACATTCAACCCGCAACTGGTAGCTAAGGGAAGTCAGCAAGAAAAAAAGAAACACAGACCTGATTAATTGTCTCAAGTCCAGTGAGAGAATTTCCCATTTTAGGCAAAGAGCAGCACCAGTGTTTTTATGTTACCTTTAATGCTCTGACAAGAGAGAAGTCTCACTGAATTGGAATCAAACCCCTAGACCTTTCCAAAGACGTCCTAGAAATAACTATAACCTCCTCTTTCAGGAAGCAATGTTGTAATCAAATCTGGCAGTGACTTCCTTGCATAACGAGGCAATAATTTTTGACAATTCCTGGGCAGCACTAGGCAGGGCTTTTGTTCTTCCTGTCAACTTCTCAGACAGAAATTCCAACCACTTTGCAGTGATGTTGTTTAATAGTATCTTTATGCATCTTCATCGTGGATCAGTGTTGCGGAAAAGCCATGGAAACATCTTATAGAGTGTTTTTAAAGCTAGTTATAACCTTGAGAAAATTAAAAGCCAGATTTTCTTCACCATATTTTACCACAAATGGCTGCAGGATAGACAAGTTATCACAGTTCATTGGGACTATTCCTGTGATTTGTAACATATCACTGTGTTGTGTTTTGAAGAACAAAAAGATTTCCTTCTGTGTGCTTTATCTGGCTTGGTGACAATTCAGGAGGTGGCCAAACCACAGACACTGATGTAATTTACTCATGGCTTTGTGGACTCTTTTTTTTTTTTTTTTTTTCTTAGTGCAGACTGAAATCTCTAACACAGGGATGGAGAGAACTGGCAGCCAGCATTCAGTCTGTAACTTCACACATACACTATCATACAGATAGTCACTGCACAACAGCCAACAGTTTTCTAACTATGACTTACTAATACCTAGGTGAATTTAACAAGTTTCCTAAAGGCATCAGGAAGTCTGTTTGGCCTCTGGAAAGGAGAGGTTTCTCACCCATTAGTAGCAGAGAGTTGAAGGCTCTACGAATAGCAATCACATGCCTTCTCCTGAGGACTGAACCTTATGGACATCCTTCTAACACAGGAAACAGGATTCTTACGGATAACCCCTGTAAGCCACATACACTCACAAGTAGAAATCAAAGAAAATTTTACTTACTTAGGAACTTCCAGGAGATGGAGATAAAATTGATCTGTATTTGCTAGTTCTGATTTTTCTTCTTTGCAAGATTTCAGGCTATTTATCTAAAAAGGAATAAAACAGTAAAACCCCTGTAAAGTATTGTAAAATATTTCTGGGGCCCTGGTTGCTTCCCCCAGAGACAAAGCTGGTTTTTCTGAACTATTTGTGTGCACAGACAATGGGACTGAGCCAGATGAGACATAAATTACACAAGCAAACTGGTTTGCAAAGACCTGTTTATAAGTAAAACTATTAAGTTTTGCTTCACTTGGAAGGCTGTGATTGTACAGTTTCTTTTATGATAAATCCCTGATTGATAGGCAGGACTTCAACATGTTCTGGTGCAATCTAGCCTGACAATCCCTTCAGAAAAACAGATCCCAATACCTCTCAACTGGAACCTACACTGAAAGTCTGTTTATTCACCCAGATTTACAAATGCTAATATATTATACTCGTTTAATTAAATTATCAGGAATGAAAAGCAGGACTGATCCCTTTGGTGAGGCTCACAGTGTACTATTGCCTCATCTTTGTAACATGAGGCCAAATTTTTGCTGGGTAAGACTTCACTACTGCTCTATCCTAGGAATCCATTGACTAAGACGGTGCATGGCCATGAGGGATCCGGGCACACTGTCTTGCTCTACCAGTGGAAATATTCAAAAGCGAGCACCAGGCATGCTCTAGGTCCAGCAGAATCAGCAGGATGATAGATACCTCATGCTCTTCAGGCAGCAGTTTGAGTAGCTGCTTTAGCCTCTCAGCATCAAACTTGGATCCATCCCCTTTGTGAATCATTTCTGCGATCTCTTTATTGGAGCTGTAGGAAACAGAGATGCCAAGGAGCAGCAGTGTAAGAAGAGGGAACACAAAAAACATAGGAGAGGACAGTTCCATCATAGGAATAGAAAACAGCATCATAAGAATAAAGGACATTATTCATACTGCACTTGCCTTCTGTTGTTATTAGGATCTCACTCCTTAAAAGCACGATAAAGCAGATTTTGAGGGAGGCCTAAAGCTAGTTTAATAATAATTTAAGTGTGATTTCTGAGTTTGGTTCATTGTCATACAACAATAGAGTCCTCCCCTTTTAGTATGGGCATCCAGTGGCACTAAGGAGAGATTTAATTCTGAATTTTTTATACTGCTTTCAGTGAAGCCAAGGCTAAAACTGCTGGCTCTTCTCCTGCTAAGAGACATTTAGGAAAATCCCAGAAAGTTTCATCCCAGATCTTTTCCTAAAACTTTGGCAGACAGTATGTCTTTGAAATGAAACCAGGTTGCTCTGATTTGGGTTCTGGAAACATCAACTCCCTGCACCTACCACTGCTAATAGAGGAGGCAGCTCAGTACAGAGCGTTATCGTCCTGCAAAATGGGAAGTGGGGATCAACTACTTGATCCCACAGTCTCTAGCTGCTCCCAGGAGGGCTTAGATGCTGCCCAGGGAATCACGTAGAGATAAAAAATAGCAGCTAGGCTACACAGAGCTATTTTACACCATAAAGCAGAGCTTGCAATGGAAAAAAAACAGAGGGTTGAAAGGAAAAAAAAAAAAAACTTTCAGACTGATTCTGATTTATTCTTAGCACAAAGGAATCTCTAGGCTGAGTTTTCTTTCTGAAGCCCTTATAACATGGGACATTGCACAGAGGATTACACTCAGGGAGAGATCAGAAAATTCATCTTGATACTGCAGTAGTTCCAGGAAACATCAGTGAGGAGATTTTGCCAAGAACTGCTATAGATTCCCTTTTTCTCTTTTTAATCCTCTGGAGACTGTGACTTGGTGAACTTCCAATTAAGTAAACTATTCCCTCTTTATAGACAATCTGTGAATAAAAACTATAAACAATTTTAGATTCTGAAG